GTATATCTTCGGTCTGGTTGTCGACCGCGGTATCGGTCGTTAGTCGGTATATTTTCGGTCTGGTCTTCGACCGCGGTATCGGTCGGTAGTCGGCAGGTCGTTTTGTTATATATTTTGCTTCTCTGTTGGAGCGGATATCTTGCGGTTGGTGTTTCGTTAACCCTGGAATTGGTCGGTATTCTGTTATTGTCTGCATTGTACGATCTGGATCTGTGTTCTGTTCTGGTTTGGTATTGTTCTCTCCTTCTTACGCGATTTCTATTTAAGATGTTTGATAAATCAAGGCCCCATCTTGTTATTTCATGCATTCCCAGTACTACTTCTGAAGCTAGGTTTGGTAAAAAATGTAGCTTGGCTTTTCTCCAAACGTTGTCTATGGAACATTTTGCTGTAAAACAGATTTCTATGTTGCTGGTTTTTCCATCTGCCAGCGTGATCTTTAAAGCTTTTCTGTCGCTTTTTGTTCCACATTGTTCCAATATTTTTTTACCTTTTTGTCCTATAAACGAATTTTGGGCTCCTGTGTCTATTAGTGCTTTTAACTTTTTACCGTTGCTGAACGTTATCGTTGTGTGGGGTCGTTGATCTTTATAGTGTGCGTAGCTGGAGGTTGTTAGGGAGGACTCTAAATGCTGACTGGGTTGCCTCCTTCTTGTCCAGTCCTGTTGGAGTTTTCCGGTCGGCTTCTACATTGGCAGTTATTGGAAGTTGTTCCTCGGGTTCCGCAATGGCTGCAGAAGAGTACAGCGATAGCTCTGCAGTTTCTTCTATTGTGGCCTCTGCGGCCGCATTTCCAACAACAAGTCTGTCTGTCGAAATTCTGTATTTTGTTATTACGACTATTTGCCTGTGTCCAGTCACACCTTGTATTGTTTCTGTTATATATTTCTTTTTGGACCATATCATATTCTTCCGCTAGTCTGATGATGTCCTGTGTTGACGATACGTCTTGCCTCTTTATATACAACTTGTATGTCGGGTTCATATTGGTGTATATCCTGTTTAGTTCTTCTTGGTGATTGAATTCACCATGTCTTCTGATCATTGTTTGAATATCAATGATGTAGTCTTTTACACCTTCGTTGTTTCGTTGGAGTCGGTTCCGGATTTGCGCTTCCAGAGATTGCGTGAGAACGGAGGAAACGAAGAAATTGCGGAAATCTTGTTCGAAGTCTTTTAATTCGTTCCAATATTTATTATTGTTTCTGTACCATAGTAATGCTTTCCCGTTTAATGTTTCTGGTAGAGCTTGTAAAACGTGGGTGTCTTGTAGGCCGTAAGCTGTCTGGAGTTCTTTCAACCGTTCTATGAATTCTATTGGGTCTCTTGAACCGTCAAAGTGTAACCCCCATTTGCGTACTATTTCCATCTTTCTTTGTCTGTCTTCCATCTGGTTTTCTTCTATTTCCTCTGGGTTTTGGCCTTTTTGAGTTGGTGCCTTGATGATCGCAACTAATCTCGCTCTTAGCTCGCTGAAATTCCCTTCCGTCGACTGTTCTCTGTTTGTTAATTCGGCTATAAGTTCGTCTTTCTTTAATAGGTACACCCAACTAACCTTCGACGTTTCCGGAGCGTCTGTCATTTTTGAACTGTGAATCACCCTGTATTTGAATAAAGTTTGAAATGCAGTACTGTCTCATGAAAATAAAATTCGGAATTCGGTCGGTATTATTGTTTAAAACGAATTTTTCTGCTCGGGCGCCATCTGTGACGTCCTCTCGTAGGAGTCACTATCCGGGTAGCTTTTGGACAGTCAGAGACAGAGTTCAAAATAAAAATAAAACTTTATTGTCTTCCTTAAATTAAATTGACAAAAATCTTATGTACATATTTACAATTTAGTTTAGTCTTCTCAGTACCTGGCCTATTTATTCAAATTAAGTTTGACCTTGTCGTATGAAATTAGTGTTATCGGCAATCAAGTGTGTTTTCGGAATTTTACGTGAACGATGTGTCGATTTAATAACAGCGGACGATAGGTACACAGGAAAGAAAGAAACTCAACACGTCCCTCAAGTGATTCGGGTTAATAGGACACTCCTCGACAGTCTCAACACGACTGCTTCGGAGTACGGGTAGTGGAGAGCTCAACACGCTCTCCGGATAACGGCGGTATGGAACGGAAACAACTTGTGAACTCAACACGTCCACAAGCCGGGGTAGGGGAGAAGAGAACCTTCAGTCAACACCTGACGATTCTGCCTCTATGAGGAAATAATGCGGTTTATATAGCAAAGATTTGCCCTTTCTACTGTCGATACACTCCTACTTCATGGGTTGGTTCGCGCGCACGCTGGTTTAACGGTGATGGCTTGGACTCATCGTTACAGTTTTATTATGCAATTTGCAATTTAGTTAAATTTTGCAATATATTTTATTATCTTTTATTTTGTGATATTGACGATTTATGTAATTTCAGTCAATTTTAAATTGTTATTGTTATTTTTTTACTTTTTGTCAGCTTTGTCCATAAAATTGTACAATTTTCAGTGACAATAAAGCATATTTCTACTCTATTTTAGTTAAAAATGTGATTTTCACTATAATCAATAATTGTGGCTTAATCCATATAAACAATAATACCCATTATTATGATGTGATAATGTGAATAGACCATTAATTTACAAAATCCTTTTTATTTGCAGATGATAAACAATTGTACGGCTGTGGATGGAACAAATACCACCAGCTAAAAACTTGTGACGATAAAAACATTTTCAAATTGACTCACCTGCATAACTTCGAAGATTATAGCGTCCTGGACCTCCAATGTGGACCATGGAGTTCAGCAGCTATTTGCGAATAAGTAGTTTCGGTAGACTTAGTCGACTTTAAGTTTTGTTTTTACCAAATTTTATTAAGACTGAAAAGTATTTAGGAGTTGAGATCTTATTTACCAGTTACAAATGTTGGATTGTACTATATTGTAAAAACCTTTATTTTGTTTATATTTAATGTAAATTGTTAGCTGTATTTATTTACATGGTGTTTACACATAAGTATGATTTATATGTTTAACCAAAATATAATAAACAGTTTTAAACAAAATGTTGTTTTATTGGTTGCCTATTGGGACCGTGCAAGTTCGGAAGAGCGACACCTGGTGTCGTAAATCAGCAAAATTTACTGCGCTTTCATGCGATCGACCGTTTGAGCACCCCTGTTCTAGAGTTTGATGAGACAACTAAAGAAGCTATTAGAGCTAGTGTAAAGAGATTAAAACCCAAGAAATGTACAGGTAGACAATCTATCTGCTTATATCTATAAGTGGTGTATTGACCAAATTTGCAGTGAGCTCTACAAGAATGGTGGCGATGCCCTACTACAGACACTGCATAAGCTTTTACTTCTTGTTTGGCATAATGAGACCATGCCTTGTGAATGGTCTCAAGGCGTGATATGCCCGTTACATAAAAAAGGTGACCAGCTCCAGTGTGACAACTATAGAGGTATAACCCTGTTAACAACTGCTTACAAAATACTAGCAAATATTCTCTACGAAAGGTTGCAAGTTTACACAGTGGGCATAGTTGGTAAATATCAAGTTGGATTCACTCCAGAAAAATCAACAATTGACCAGATTCATTCAATAAGACAGATTCTCGAGAAAACATTAGAATTCAATATTGAAACCCATCACCTATTCGTCGACTTCAAGGCAGCATATGACAGTGTCAAGAGAACAGTGCTATACCAATCAATGCATGAGTTTGGTATACCAGAGAAACTTATCCGACTAACGAGAATGACAATGTCTAACTTAGAAGCCACTGTTAGAATACAGGGAGAGAGTTCTAGATCCTTTGAGATAAAGGATGGACTCAGACAAGGAGATGCTCTGGCTTGCCTCCTATTTAATATTGCCTTAGAAAAGGCAGTCCGAGATACACGAATTAGGGACGGCGGTACTATTTACAATAGATCGATACAAGTCTTAGCATATGCTGATGACATTGACATAATAGGGCGTAGCAAGCGAGATGTTGAGCAATATCTCCTAGAATTGGAAACAGCGGCGAAACAAGTCGGTCTAGTCATCAACGAAGACAAAACCAAGTACATGTTGGTTACAAAGGATCCGACAGCAAATGAGGAACGAGAAACAGTCTTTGGAAGTCATACCTTTGAACGTGTTGACAACTTCACATACCTTGGGTCGCTATTGACTGCTACCAATAAAACAAGCGAAGAAATCAAAAGACGAATAAATCTTACAAATAGAGCATACTATGGACTCCAAAAGCATTTCCACTCAAGAAACATTCAAAGAAGAACTAAAATTATTATATACAAAACATTGCTGAGGCCGGTCCTCACATATGGAGCAGAAACATGGACATTAACGCAGAAAGATGAAAGACTTTTGGGAATATTTGAGCGTAAAATACTCCGCAAAATATTTGGAGCTGTAAACGACCAAGGGCAGTGGCGCAGAAGATATAATTTTGAATTGTATCAGCTCTTTGATGAGCCAGATGTCATAACGTTCATTAAAACACAGCGACTTAGATGGGCTGGACACATAATACGAATGCCAGAAAATACCATTGCTAAAAAGCTAACCACAGGAACACCTGTAGGAACAAGAAGCAAAGGCCGACCGCGAATTAGGTGGTTAGATGGAGTAGAAACCGACCTACGAATATTAAAAATCAGAAGATGGCAACATGTTGCCAAAAACCGAACAGAATGGCGACGAATCTTAGAGCAGGCCAAGATCCACAGAGGATTGTCGAGCCAAAGATGATGATGATGACGATTTATGTAATTTCAGTCAATTTTAAATTGTTATTGTTATTTTTTTACTTTTTGTCAGCTTTGTCCATAAAATTGTACAATTTTCAGTGACAATAAAGCATATTTCTACTCTATTTTAGTTAAAAATGTGATTTTCACTATAATCAATAATTGTGGCTTAATCCATATAAACAATAATACCCATTATTATGATGTGATAATGTGAATAGACCATTAATTTACAAAATCCTTTTTATTTGCAGATGATAAACAATTGTACGGCTGTGGATGGAACAAATACCACCAGCTAAAAACTTGTGACGATAAAAACATTTTCAAATTGACTCACCTGCATAACTTCGAAGATTATAGCGTCCTGGACCTCCAATGTGGACCATGGAGTTCAGCAGCTATTTGCGAATAAGTAGTTTCGGTAGACTTAGTCGACTTTAAGTTTTGTTTTTACCAAATTTTATTAAGACTGAAAAGTATTTAGGAGTTGAGATCTTATTTACCAGTTACAAATGTTGGATTGTACTATATTGTAAAAACCTTTATTTTGTTTATATTTAATGTAAATTGTTAGCTGTATTTATTTACATGGTGTTTACACATAAGTATGATTTATATGTTTAACCAAAATATAATAAACAGTTTTAAACAAAATGTTGTTTTATTGGTTGCCTATTGGGACCGTGCAAGTTCGGAAGAGCGACACCTGGTGTCGTAAATCAGCAAAATTTACTGCGCTTTCATGCGATCGACCGTTTGAGCACCCCTGTTCTAGAGTTTGATGAGACAACTAAAGAAGCTATTAGAGCTAGTGTAAAGAGATTAAAACCCAAGAAATGTACAGGTAGACAATCTATCTGCTTATATCTATAAGTGGTGTATTGACCAACTCGTTGAACCATTACAGGTTATATTTCATCTAGCTTTAAAAACTAATACCTTTCCTAAAAAATTAAAAGATACCATTACAGTTCCTATTTTTTAATCTGGTAATATTAATGATGTAAAAAATTATAGACCAATTAGTATTTTAAATTCTTTGGCAAAAATATTTGAATCTATGTTATATAACAACTTATTACAACACTTTATCAAATCTTTTAATCAATATCAACATGGATTTCTCCCAGATAGATCAACACTTACAAACTTATGTATTTTCATACAATCTGCTGCAGATGCCATAAATACTAAGAGGCAAATGGATGTAATCTTTACTGATTGTGTAAAAGCATTTGATAGGGTTGACCTTTGGCCTCTCAATTAATGCATTAACATTTTTGAATTCGCACCTAGCAGATAGAAGTCAGCAAGTTAGAGTTGTTAATTTTTTCTCAGAGGAATATTTCGTAACTTCTGGAGTTCCTCAGGGTAGCAACCTGGGACCACTCTTATTTGCTTGCTTTATAAATGATCTTTTTAGTTGTCTCAAATTTTCCACTTATTTAATGTTTGCAGATGATTTTAAGATGTTTAGAATTGTAGAAAATCAATGTGATTGCCAACTATTACAACTAGATTTGAATGTGGTATCTAATTGATTTCAGATAAATAGAATGATTTCAGAAGTAAATATTGATTTCATTGAAAAGGTACAAAAAAGGTTTTTAAGATATCTATATGTTGGAAAATATAATTCTTATCCATACTTGGTGTCTTACCGGAGTATGCTTGAAACTTTCAAATTTGTATATACTAAACTAAAAATTTGTATATATTGTAAACAACATGATTAGGCAGTGGAGAACCTGCTATCTACTTCTAATATGAGAATGGAGATGGAGACTACATTTGTAGTCTCCATCCTGACATGATTGGTAATCAATTAAATCTATTTCAGCCCGAGAGCAAAATTTTCATGAAATTACTACTGAGAAAGAATGTCTCTTGGAGCACCCTGTACAATTCACATGATTTTTAAATTGTAGTGTAAATGACTCTGTATAATTCTGTGAAGAAAAAATCTTTGGATATTAAGTCGTTGCAGATTTCTGCAGATGAGTTAAGAGAAGTTGAGTGCAGTTGAGTCTGAGATATCTGAATTTATTCAGAATTTGAGCAATAAGATTAAGACCGAATTAAACCTAATTCCTGAACAACTTTATAATGCTGATGAAACCGGTCTAAACTGGCGGCAATTTCCAATAAAGATATTTATCACTTCAGACGAAAAAAAAGTTTTTGGTAGAAAACTTTGGAAAAAACGCCTCACTCTCATGGCATGAGAGTATAAAAATGTTAAAATTGAGAAGCTACCGATTACGTACATGTAGCAAAGCCATGCCTGGCTGAAAAAAGAAGTTTTTCTGGATTGGTACAAGAATAGCTTTGTTCCACAAGTTAGAGATGAGCTAAGAAAAAAGAAACTGTCAGTGAAAGCCTTGTTGTTAGACAATGCTCCAGGACATCCTGATAAGGACGAATTCAAAATCGAAACTGCCAATGGATATATCGAGTCAATATACTTAACGAAAAATACTACTGTATTTATTGATGAATCAAAACGTTATTAAAACTCTTAAGGCACACTACAAGAAACAACTTATGGACATTGTGAATGCTGTATAGTGGCAGCAAGTCAAGCCTACTACACTGATTAAATCGTGAAAGAATATTTGGCCCAATAACCCACTCCTTTCAATAAAAGTTATCAAAGAATCCAATGACCAACCTGTGCAAGTTGTACGAGATGCTGCTCTCCAAAATTTGCAACGATATGACTAAATCATCAGAATCAAGAGAAGCTTTACAAAAGTGGATTTTAGAAGAAAATCTCAATGTTGACTTAACAGATGAAGACATGATTAAAGCAATGACAGAATTTGATGAACACGTGACTCAGGAAGCACAAGATGAAAAATCTTTCACCGTCAATTGTGATGCTGCAAACACTGTACATTGACTGCAAACACTTTGATGCGTTGATGCGAGGAGAGAGCATATGACTTTGAAAATATTTTGATGTTAAAGGAGATACAAGGCTACTACTAGCAAAACAATTCCAAATATATAATCACTTTCGGTAACCCGGACACTTTCGGTAATCTAACACTTCTTTGGTACCATACCTGTCGGATTATCCAGAGACAACTGTATTTTAAAACTTAAAAATTAGCGCAAACTAACATATCACCACTATTATAATATTTTTAACTGATAAAGGATTTTTTACTTACTATTTAACAATATCTGTAACTGATAGGTAAAACCTATATATTATTCACTGTTTACAGACCTTCTCGAATAGAAGGAAAACTGACTATTTCGTGATTATAATAGAGTAATAAACGACTGAATCAATTCTTAAACGAAACTCTAGTTGTGTGGAGGATGTTTAATGTTTTATACTACAAGAATTATTAAAGGTCTGTGGAATCGATAACATAGAGGTCGATTTTTTTATTTAACGTTGTTTGCGTGATCTGTTTAAGTGTATGTTTTACGGATGTACATAAATATCTCGATTTCAAAAGGAAGTCAATTAGTTTAATGGAGTAGTAGTAGATTGCTATATGTACTATGAAAAGCAATACTCAAACAATTACGATTCTTACGATAAAAAAATACTTGTTCTAAATTACAAATGAGAACTCATTTAGCAAGTTCAAAAATTAAATTCCACCACTAAATAATACGTAAAATGTGAATTATAATTTATTCTTCTTCTTCTTCCTCTTTATAAGTAATTCTTGTTGTTCATTGGCGAAATAATACTTCTAAGGAAGGTTGTGACTGCAGCTTTTGCGCGGTGGTCTGATACTTCTTCTGCCGATTGGTGACTTATCTCTTGCTATTTTTTTTCTATAATTTTCTGTAATTATCATCAGTAGGTACTCTCATCTCTGCCGTTTCCAGTAGTCTTTGCGTTGTGGCTGTGTCGGATCTTGTTTCTGAGGCATTGTTACACTGGCTTTGTAAATTCTTAACTTTATCTCAATGTTAATGTCTCCGACTACTAATGTTTTAGTTTTCTGAGATGAGATTATTATATTCAATTCTATTGCTCTTATGTTAAACCTATGGACCAGTCTTTGCAGACTATGTTCATCTTGGGCTAACAATATTGCGTCGTGTGCGTAACAGAGTATTTTTATTTCTTTGTTTTCCATTCTGTATCCTCTTCCCTTGTTAACGCTTTTGATAATTTAATCCATGATCAAATTGAAGAGGATGGTGCTTGATGAATCCCCTTGTCTTATTACGCTGCCTATTTTTATAGGTTCTGTAAGTTGTCCATCTATTTTCACTTCCCTTTTGTTGTTTTAGTAGATGTTTTCCATGATTTATATAATATTTAAGGGGACTTTCTATTATACTGAAGATGGATTACATCTCTACGGCTTACTCTGTCAAATGCTTTCTTTAGGTCAATCCGAAGGACAAGGATCCGAAAATGTTGAAATATCCTTCTCTCTTGATTACACGAAGGCTCAAATATACCTATTTACAAATGCAGAGGAAAATATGTTAGAAATTATTTAGATGTTGCCAGCAAATTACACCATAAATCCTCGTTCTTTCTTCCCGTTATTTGTCTTAACGTCACCTTCTGCTTCTAATTGACATTCAGTAGGGTAAACTGTGCAAATACCGGTCAGTGGGTAATGGCGGTCGTCCCGATTGTGCGAAATCTATTCAATCTGGCAACCTCCTATAACTGCCAACGTGTCGCTACACTACTCTGTATTCAGATTGCTGACGAGCGTTGAGTTGGCGCAAACCGTTGTCATAGAAATATTATTAACCTGTTTTCAGTGTTTTCGATCTTATTTTTATGCTGAGTAATATAAGGTCTTAATTCATTTTTTATTCCCTTGTAGAACTTAAAATTGGTTACAATTGATTATAATGACGTTAGCTGCCTATTCCTTTTTTAAAGATTAATATTTTAATATATGTTTACGAGTAAAAAATTCTAAGAAAAAAAAATGCCAACAGGAGGCAATGCCGGTCAGTTGACCGGTATTACTCCCATGCTATAATTTATATCCTATAATATTAATCCTTAGGGATTAATCCATCCATTTTTCGACATTGAAAGAAAGAATAAAAAAATAAAAATCTTCAAGGTGTCTCATTAGGTAGAAAATCAGTATTTTCTGCAGAACAAGAAGCTAAAATAGCCACACAAAAAAAATATTTAGCTTAATTTTTATGGCGTAACAGCAATAGAACTGAGAAAATTAGCATTTGGGTTTACAAGATAATTTTTCTTGTAATAAAACACCTTTTTCTTGTAATTGGCATTACAAGAAAAAGGTGTTTGATTCTAGTTCTTTGGAATCGGATATTGATATATCATGTGATAACAGTGACGATGCATACGAAGATAGATGCCTGGTTTACAGCGAGTTTGGCAGAAACAATGAATTGTGTTTTATATTTACCGGTTGCTCACGATGGGCTTATTCAGAGTGCAGTGGATGGGATTCTGCAGAGAGTTATACCTGCGATGACTGTCAACTATTTTTACATTAAAACACATATTTTTGTTATTTTTTGTTTGTTTTGTAATAAAAAATATTTTTTCACCTTTCTTACTGATTTACTTGAATTATGACCCATTAAGCCACATTCGTTAATCGTTTTATAACAAAAAAATGTTAAATAAATATTGATTTTTATTTTAATAATAACACAAACAAATTGACTGG